TTCGTAAAGTCGTTGATGAACGTTCACTGATCGCTAACACTCGTCCCGCTCTGCCTTGGGGGGCATTCTCGAGCCCCGCCAGCAGCCGCTAGTAGTCTAGGCAGAGAACATTGCCACTTGGGGTTGGGTATGATTGGCTGAAGACAGCTAATGATCCATAAATGGTCATTTCAATCTCTCTTGTCTTTGCCGACAATGCTAGCTCCGGAAAGGGTTTCATAAATGAGAGGTCAAAACGCCATAAACTGTGCTTGTTTTGGCGCAGTCGGCTTCACAATCCCTACAAAACAGCTTGTGTGCGAGCGCACGTAATATTTCGGACTTTTGGTTAGTCTTTAGTAAGCCCAAGTGTTATTGCCTCTAAAATAAACAAAACATCGTAAAGTATCATGAAATTACCCAGACTGGAATGACCACTTTCGGTTTATGAGTCATGAGAAGCCAATCGTACCCAACCCCGGGTGTTACAGAACCCAAGGATCGAACCCGCGACCTATTGTTTAGAAGTCCAAAGCTCCGACCATTGAGCCACGGGCCCGTTGTCCTGTCGGCTTCAATGGGGAATACTGATCGTGGTAGATTGGCGATCACCGAGAGTGAGCCTCAGGACACAACGGGACGAGTGAGTTTCGTAATCGATCAATGAGCGCCAATCCGCCACACCTTAAAGTGCTCCCTTTGCTTGCGCGTTTTTTCAGCAGCGCCTGACTGCGATTCGTGAAAAATTAATTTTTTTCTACTATACAAAATTCCATTTGGACAGAGTCTGGTCTGAAGTTCTTCGCAAAAAGTTGTGCCTTCTCTTTACTCGCCACATCTACCGCACGATACCCAATGCCGGCGGATATGACAATCTTGTCTGAGGTCCCTCGCTCCTAGCCGTGAAGGATGTCTCGCGTTTTTTCACGCCTACTCAACTGAAAAAGACATCACTAGTGGGTCAGAATTCAGCGGTGTCTTCGGTTACAAGATTCCCAAACTGCGGGACGTCTAGAAAGCCTTCGGAACGAGGGGTAACTTTTCGTAGACGGTTGCAAGGCACGGATAAGTAAACAATTCGGAGATAGTACAATGAAAAAGGGGAATTAAATAAATATCTCAAGTTCACTTAGTCATCTCGCAAGAGAGGTTAGTGTATATCAAGGAAGAAGAATATGCGGAAATGCGACTTACAAATACACTCAAAGCGATGAGGTTACCGGGATAACGACGTCGAACGGATTCACAACAGCCTAATGTCCAGTAGGTGACCAGAAACAGACCACTAATAGTGAAGGGCGATCCAAAATGTGTTCCAAGAACTTACTATGAAATATAGTAGGTCCACCTATGTTTTCGAATCCAAGGCCTTACCGGTGGACTAAAATCAAGGGGCAAAGCAGAGTTAAGTAATCAGAGGAGACAAGAAACAACGACATAAACGCATTTTGAAGAAGAAAAACAGAACGTCTGTGTTTCCAACAGGACATTTGACGAGACAAACGGGAGAGCCATTTACTTAATTCAGCAACAGTTCAGTTGCTTCTACTTGCGTGGACTCACTGCCTTTGACACTCAGTCACATAGTTAACGTGCATTTCGGAACTGGCAGTTGCAAACATATGAAAATGAAAACATCGGTGCTCCAGATAGGCACTAAGGGATTCGCGAAATCCTTAAAAATGTGGTATGTTCAGTGTGAATTGATGTTGAAATTCTCCTCCCCCCACTAACATGCTGGAACCCCTCCCCCTTTCGAGGCTAAAATAACCCATAGTTTTCCATATTTTTTTTCCCCAGAAATTCTCACTCTTTGTCTTGAACGGCTCCTCAATAGCATACACTATTTTACCTCCTAAGCCCACCAATTAATGGTCAAGCCAACTAAAATCATCTATTAGTAAAATATAGGAAGTCAACACTTAGAAACCCTAACCAAAGCCACTAGACCAAATGACAGCTACCTATACTACGGCAGTGCCAGCTAGTTAGGCTTTGTGGATTTTTTTCTGGAAAACACGCAATGGCCGGCCTAACCTCCAGCCAAGAGAGCAGCACCCTGCTGAGTGTCCCTCTTCCCTCATGAGCCTCAGGAAACCGACAGTTGCAGTGTAAGTCATCGAGGGCGTGGTCACAATATGAGTGAATAGTGGAGATAAAAGATATTGGGGATCTGGACAGTTTGAAGACAATGAAACAATCAACAGACTTACTAAAATAAACAGAAAAGTATGAAACCTACTGCCACCGTAAGTTGGACTGTCAAGATGGCATAGACCTAAAACAGAAAAGGAAATTATTTACCCCCTGAGACACCGGCATAGGGATAAAGAGTGTAAAGGGGAAAAAACTATTGATCGAGGTGATTTTGACAGGAAGGCCGACTTCACGCAAAACGATTGTAAAAGATGAAAGGACAAATATTATCCACGGGAGTAGTAACATTAGTCTGGTTCAGACAGCTCTCAACACCACAACATAGGCGGAAATGCAAAGGAGTATGGAACTCTTCGCCGCCGATTGCGTAAACTTTGGTCCAGCCATCAACGCAAATAAAACGGTGGTCATACATCAACCGCCGTCTAGCGCTGATTACAATGCTCCACAGATGAACAGTAAAGGTGCCGAGCTCAAAAATGTGAACAACCTCGCCTATCTTGGCAGCACTAGAATGGACGACGAGGTTGCTTGTTCGGACTCTAAAGCCAGTCAAGCCTTTGGCTGGCTTCAAGCCTCCATGTGTCCACGAAACTGAAGATGTACAAGGCTGTCATCCTCATAACACTCTTGTAGGGAGCAGAGACTTGGGCTGGCTACGCTAACCAAGCTTGGAAACTGAATCATTTCCATCTTAGCTGTCTCCGCCGAATACTGAAGCTGCGATGGCAGGACAGGATTCCAAACATAGAAGTCCCGGAGAGAACGGGAATTCTCAGCATCCAGGCCATGCTGAGGCAGATACAACTGCGCTGGAGCAGTTACCTGGCACGGATGGACGATCAACGACTATACAAACGACTTTTTTACGGTGGTGTTGCTGTGGGCACTCGTCGCAAAGGAGGACGCTACAAGGATACTCTGAAGAACTCCCCGAAAGGGCTTCAAATCCACACGACGGCCTGGGAGGAACTCGCGCAGGATCGATCTGCTTGGCGAAGAACAATGAAAACTGGCGCAGCTATCTACGATGCCAGTCGGATCGCCATCCCCAGAGACAAAAAGGACGCCGTGCAAGTCCCAAACCCAACGGACGAACGTCATCAATGCCTAAGCCTTTCCAACCTGCCGGCGCTGTCAGCGCACCTTCCCTGCAGTATCGGTTTGGTCGGTCATATCCGGACGCAGTGCACCATCCCTTTGACGACATTCACTTCTACGGCGTCAAACACT